GTCAGGGTCAGGGTCAGGGTCAGGGTCAGGGTCAGGGTCAGCAAAAACCGTGAGAGATATACAATGGAAGCTGGGTCAAATGCTTTTGTGGCTTTATTATCAGCATAAAGAAATAAGAACTTGGCCACGGAATAACAACTTTAGGTCCCGAAATTTGGACCCCCAAGTGACGTGTCAATTGTAATAGAGTAATAGGGGCATCTGTACTCGGCAATAAAGATTCAATAAACATCTGAACATCAGCTAATTGGACACTATACTGAGGTATCGACTAGGTATCGACGCGAAAGCAACCCAAAGAGATTTTTGCAGTGCATGTGATTGATATAATTAATTGAAACTTATTACAATTCGAAAGTCGTGAATGAAAGGGAAAAGCGAGCGACCGATTTCATTCCTTGTATCATTTTGCATTTGCGGACGGTTATTAAAAATCAAATTAATATCATTTACTTTTGTTTGGGAAAGAGAGACACTGGCAGCGGTCCACCCTACCCATGATTATGGGTTTTGGTCAAATTTATAAACAGACAGAATTTAAAGCATAACTTGAAGCCAGGAAGTCTGCAATATGGCCCGCAAGACAGGAGCCATGCTAAATTACTCTAAATCTATCGTACCCTACAACGTGTCAGTTTTATAAATGGCTACGTTCCTTACAACGCGTGATCCTTTAACTCAAACTGATATAATTATATAGTCCTAGTCCTACAGACTAATAATCTAATTGTCGACGGTCCAGGTAACACAAATTCCAACTGCTCTCTACTTGTTCCGCAGAAGCAATATTAAGAGGTGCACACTGCACGGATCATCTCAAAGGAACTTTTAATCGAATTCCACAATCGAAAGGTCGCATGTGATTTGCCTTGAGTCACTGCAAAGGTATGTGTTTATTACCTGTAAAGTTAGGTTACCAGTCTGCGAATATATAGTCCTAGTTCTACAGACTGGTAATCTAATTGTCCACTTTCCAGGTAACACAAATTCCAACTGCTCTGATCTACTTGATGAAAAAAACCTACTACAATTCCAACTGCTGATGATTCTTTCAAAGAAATTTCTAATAAAACAGTAAACTCAGTGCCAACAATTTAAAATGAAACTAAATAAATCGCGTTACGACGTTTGATTTTGATTGTTTGTCCTGAGAAATTGATTGTTGATTGGGTATTTTAGGTCAAAATAAAATAAAATAAAGAAGCTGTTGATAATAAAACGGTTTTATATAAACCGTCAACCCAATCCAAACCATAAACACAAACCCGAAGAATCGGAAATAACCGGTGCAGTCTCCTAGCGATGAACAAAAATCTTCAACATAATCTCAGAGACACTATAAAACTGGTCTGTTCTCTCTTCTACCCAGCAAAACTTACCGGCTGGCCGTGTTACTAGACTTATCTTAGCAGACGAAATAATTTTTAAAGGACGCAAATTTTACCTCTCCACATTTTCACTTTATTTGCAGTTTAAAAAAGCTTAGAAATGTTTAAACTTGGAAGACGTCAGTACAGCTCAAGCTGGTCATAGTCACACTCACAGTTATGAAGTTCATAATATGAACAGTTTATAAATAGAAACAGCGGCAAAAGGATTATTGTATTAAACCAGCAGGTAATGGTATCTTTCAAATTACATGTTTCATCTGGTGCCGATCAGTGACCATGCAAAATAAATCGAAGCTTTCGCGACTAGCGATGTAGCAGGACTAGCGATGTAGTTATTATTCTACGAAGAATATTCATCCTGTTTATTTCAATATAATTCATGTTTCAAAAAATAATATTTAGACATTATATAAATGTTTTTATTTTAAACGGAGAATTGTTTGCAAATCATTAATGTCATGAGTCTGATAAATATAAAAATTGTGACGCGCCTTGTGGTTCATCAGAATCTCATGATATCATGATCTCAGTTTAAGGACCTGAGTCAGAGCCTAGAGGTTCACTGGGACCGTTGGAGAGAAAGCCTTGTGCAAAATGATCTAACACTTTAGGTGGATATCTTCATAGCTATTGCGAATAAAGTAATTCTTGTATAATAACTGTAAAGTGTCTGTCGTCTGATGGAGGGTGAGCGAGGGGGTCTAAAACGGCCGAGAGTTACTTACTTTGGTTACTTTGGTTGAGTTGATTATCTTCGTAGCAGGAGAGGTCATTAGATTTTTGATGCGTAACATGTATCAAATTATTTTATGTACGTGATATGGATTTGCTAAATAATAATAATAATAATAATCGAAAGATTTGTAGATACACATAGTCTCTACACCTTTACCCTCTAGTCCCTAGGGTCAGCGGATCCCGGGCCAGAGGAAAACTACCGACTGCCAAGGTTTGACGCCTAGGCAGTCGAGACCTCTTATTGAGACCCTTTATAATAATAAACTCTGAACGACTACATTCGAAACCCCTGTATACTATGAGTATAACTAACAGTAACCAGCTCTAGCTTATACCTGATCCTAACCCTAACCTAATCGGAATCTCTAACAAAAGCATATGGTGATTTGAAATCAGCATCCAAAAATATATTGATTTAACTTATATTAGCTGCTTTTAGTCTTTTAGACAAATTTTGAAAATCAAGTGTAAATAGTGGAATGTGGATAAAGTGATTTAGCACGCTGCGCTTTAGTTTAACAGGCTTGCGCTCGTTTAAAAATTAATTAAATCTTAATCTTTCGCTTGCGTAATTTTTAAATCATATCTCGCTCGAGGTTTAGCAATTTATAAATAATTTATTGTGCTCACATTTAAATTTAGTAAAATCAACCTTAAATATTAAATCATACAAAATTGATTAATAAACGATTGTCAATGTCATTGATTAAATTGATTAATGAAAATGTTGTTTTACCTCGTGACCCCTATTGTCGTTTTTTACGAGTACGATTCGATCATATACAGGGGGCCGCGCACGAGTGCGCGGCGCGACGGGTCATACGTTGCATGCAACGTATGACAATATACTATTACTATTATATGCCAATATACTATGCCATGCCGGCCATATGCCTATGGCTTGCTAGACAACTCACGCATGTACTTAAAGTTAATGATCATAATGTAATGGCCATTCATATTTTAAGTAAATGAGTCAACTTTATCGTCGTTATTGTTAAGATTTTATTTTATTTTATAGAACATTAACAATGAACATGTGGTCAGAGCTTTAGTTAGTTGGGTTCCGGTTATGGGTTAGTTGCGCCCTATGTGCTATGAGTATCGTTTTGAGTTGATTCACGATGTCAATCCTTCGCATCTCGCCGATCTGCATACGATCTGTGGTTGCGATAAGCATTAGGTATTTGATGCGTGCGCGACCCAGTAGTGCATCGCGCTACAACGTTTTGAGGTGCATGCAAGTGTAAATGTCTGTTTGGCGCGTTTATCCTGGGGACCCAGGGACAAAAGGAAATCGCGGCATGTACGAAATCGCGATTTTTCCCATTATTTGCGACAAATTTTATGTGTAGTTTAATGTATAGTCTATTAACAAGAATTGCGCCCGTTGTTTCGTTTTGGCGGACGCTAGATTTCCATTTCACTATAACTATTAATATAAGCTCTAATCAGCTCACCTTGTAATAATAATAATGAAACATCAGTACACTACGCGTGCCACGTTCAAGTTGGGCTTATTACAAAATACTATACATTACATTGTATACATTAATACACAGTCGCGCCGCGCATTCATAGATCACAGGCTATCTATACATCACATCTCCGCAAGCAATCCTCGCGCGCGCGCAAATTTTTCGTTGCTTGGTAACATACGGAAGGAACACGACATATATTTGACCCACCTACCCCAATCTCCAAAATCCACGTTTTTCTGCAAAAACCGTCCATTCGTAACCTTTCACTATTGCTTTTTTTCAAAAGGGTGAAAAGGAAAAATCGCGGTATCGCGAATTTTGGCCAAAATAATCGCGAAATCCTTTTGTCCCCAGGGAACATCGAACCTCAGGCTTTTTTGTTCATAAACAGATTAAAACTGCAGCGGAATGAAAAGCTGAGCGCCCGCGCCCAGTGCCCCAGTAACTGTAAGGAGTCCGTCAGATTTATGTAGCTTAGATAACGTATATTAAACGTACCACATGGTTTTATGATCGACGCAGTTTCATTTTCTGTGCACTGTGAATCTGGGTAATTGGATTATTTGTAAGTCTGTACGCAATTTTAGTAGTTTGATAAAATTTAAATTGCTAGCAGACTTAGGATCAGTATTGACTTATTGATAAATAAATGGAGCCATGAGGTATCATTGTTTCACAGCTGGTGTCTATTTTACAATTTACATCGGTCTGCAGTTCTGTAAAAGTTTGGTTAGGCCAAAGGGAACGCGGTTGAAACCAGCACTTATGGGAACCAGCATGTATAAGTAATTCGGAGAAATTTATACTTACAGTTTTGTAAAAAAACTTTAAATTCTTATATTTTGAAAATTTTGTTGAAATTGAGAAGCTGGATTTGGAATAAGAATAAGCAGGGTCGTTAGCGTGGAGCAGCTGAACAAGTGGGTTGAAGCTTAACGGACATCTCTACATGTGATTGTGATGTCCTCATAGAGCTGGAGCAGCTCTAAAATGGGATCGTAGTTCAGCACCAAATGAACTGAGTTAACTTTAACTTCTTAGTGAGACTATATAAGAGGAGCTGCTTTTGATAAAGTATTTGATCAAATGCAAGTTTTAAGGTTGTAATCCCAATTATAGTTTGCAGCGTACTTTTGCTTTGCTTCAAATGTTTATGTAGGCTATAACGATGTAATTTACTAATTATAATGTAGTAATAATTTGCTGGTATAATAATTATGTTGCTATACCAGGATTTTAATGATCTAAAATATTGCGTAGCCTTACGTAATTAACTGTTAACAGACTATTAAATTCTGAATACATTCTAATATTTGGATACCGATAAGTCAAATATTAGCTGATCGTGAGTTTAAAGTTTATCGCTCATTAATATTTGTATTGTAGAACAAAGGATCGAGCTAATGTTGGTCGCAGCTTCTTTGCTGTTCTTGTAAGTTTTACTTTATTTCTAGTTACTGTCACGGAGTACATAACACAAACATTTTAACCATTCAATGTATGATAGCCGGCTCATACCTCATAGTCATATTATTTTGCTCGCTCGAAAATTAATATGCGACTTAGGTTTATTATTTATATGGTTTTGCAGCCGAACAAAACGATTTTACAAAAACCCTAACCTAAATTTTAACTTTTAATTTAAAGTGATTATCAAATTTGAGAGCTATCGTGATGCTAAATTATCAAGAGAACCCTTAATTCCAGATTGCCTGCAGTTTTAGCTGGGAACGCACCAGGTAAGTTAAATTAGTTTAATAGCTTCATTCATTCAAAAATAATGGTTCTACTTGTTTTGTTACAATATGAACAATGAATAACGCTCCCACTAAATCGCTCGCCCAAATGTTTAAAAATTGTTGATTTTTGGACGTTGATTCCGAATCACCCCCATGACCTTTATATTTCGTAATTTCAACAGGGGAATGGAGTTGTGCTCCGCTTACTACAATAACATCGTCTGTTGAGGGATGTGTGACGTCAAGCTCTTATGCAAACGGAGTATGGAGCATTGGAACTTCAAACTCCAAGGTAATGTTCGTTTCATCACGTTATACATTAATATTATCACGTGAAACATAATACAGATGTCACTTTCACTTTCTCTTTCATCACGTGATGTCACATTCACCCTCACGTGACGTTACATTCACCCTAACGTGACGTCACATTCACCCTCGTCCCTCACGTGACGTCACATTCTCCCTCACATGACGTCACATTCTCCCCCACGTGACGTCACATTCACCCACACGTGACGTCACATTCACCCACACGTGACGTCACATTCACCCTCACGTGACGTCACATTCTCCCTCACGTGATGCATTGTTTATTTTGAGTGTTCTCACACTTGTATCCTTCTAGTTCTATAATATATAACATAAGTTAATTTATCCAGTCTGGAGCAGGGGCTAACAAGTTTTGTGTTATCTCGCTTTCTGGGGAGGGACTTCACACCAGCAAAGACTTTTACGTCAAGGCCCGTTTCTCTAACAGCGATTCAAGTGCCAGAGCTGGACCTTTCGGAGGTATTACCTTTAATATGGAGGACGATAACAATGGCAACTACGTAATGATGAGGTGAGACGAAACATTATGTGAAAATGTAGATGCTGGAGGGTGAGAGAGAGGGGGAGGGGCGATAAAAACCCGGACTTTTCTTACTAAGTTACTATATTGTCCTACTACGATGGATTGATTATTAAAAAGAGATATTGACGACGTCAAAAAGTAATACATTTCCTCCCAGATTGAAGGTGCCAGTAATGGCTAATGTTCAGATGGGTAAAATAGTTAACGGTAATGGACAAAATCTCGCTCAAAGCAAAGTCAAGAATAACGCTGTCGCTTCTGGAGCTGCGACTCTAGGTTAGTGGTGTGAAGGAAGGTCTAGCCTGGAATTTGTGTAAAATCTGAGTTGGAGGTATACGGTAGACTTTATACCAACAAACTAGGACCATAGAGCAAGCTTTTGAGTAGGCTTCGGATCTCAGGCATCCGCAGTTGTTAGCTGTATCAGCGGGGTGGCATGAATACCAAATGACCTAATTATGACCGAACCTAAGCGTGCGAGTAATTCATATTCATTCTATCCTCCTGGGAGATGATGATCCAAAACGTTGCTAATATTATAATAATATAAGGTAATATGATTAATAACAGCGGTCGATTACCAGTGGGCAGTGGCCAATCTTCATTTCCAATATATTAATTAAATTAATAAAAATTGGCCCCCAAGCAAGCATGAAACCCACCCAAGATGAATTATTGTGTTTCACATCGTGTATTTCCCTCAGAGATCCTGGTTCAAGGTGAGGAGGAGTCAGTTTGGATAGACGGTGTTCTAGAAGAGTCTATCTCCTCTCAGCAGCCCTTCTTTGTAGCACCTGGTCATGTTGGATTCGGCTTCCAATCCGTAACCAGTTGGCCTACTATCAAGGTTTGTAATTTCTAATTTGGGACTTCAGGTTAAGCTTTGTACAAAATAATAGCTATAACCTCTAATAACAGGTAGAAGAATTTGTTCAGTGCCAAATCTCTACCTGCAGTCTTACAATACATATAGAGAAAAACTAATATCTGACTTCCATTAACAGGTAGAAGGAGCTGAGGTTTGTACACCTATAAGCTGTACTGCTGAAGATGGAACAATATACTCTGGAGGAGACCAGTGGCCAGGAGAAGATGGAAAGACTTGTACTTGCTCTGAGGCTGGTATCAACTGTGCGTGTGGTGACGACACTCTGGTTTGTCCGGGAGGCACTGAGAAGTGGACAGATCCTGAGGAGTGCGAGTCCAAGTGTATCAAATGTAGGTTATGATGATAACTGAACTTATATGGGTTAGTGACCATGGTGATAAGGATTTATTACTACAATAACTTAGTACTCACCTAATTAATTTCAGCACCAGCTTATTGTTCAAGCTCCGGAGATCCTCACTACAGGTCGTTTGACGGAAAATACTATGATTTTCATGGAGTATGTACATACCAGGCAGCTAGCTGTGGGGACTTCGTTGTAAGTTTTATTTACTAGCTTCTTTTTTATCAATACATTAAGGTTTTTACATTAGTCACTCGTGGTAGGTTCTTCAAACATTATCAGCAGGACTGTTTGTGGTTTCTACCTGCAAAGAAAGCCATGAATTTAAGATTTAGTATCTTTTATTACTCCGTTTATCTGTGTATGTCCTTCCATGGCCAGTTCCTGAGTTTCCACGCCTAACCTGTGATCTGGGGTCCTGATCAGAAGATAATGCAGAGTGAGAGGCTGGCACCATCCAGTAATCCACAACCTGCAATTCTTCAGTAGAAAATATCTAGGCATACAAACTGCAATATTTCTGATGATTGATTTTTATTTCAGGTAAATTTCAAGAATGTTGATCTTCATAATCGAGCCCCAAGATACACAGGACGGATTGAACTGATTTTCAAGGGATCCAAATTTTCTATCGAGAGAGGTTTGGTGTCAAAAGTCGATGACGTAAATGTGAGTACTTCAAATCTATATTAACTACTGTCTCGGTAAAAATTGGAAATAGTGGGCTAATACTATAATCTCATAATTATATTTTAATCAGCAAATAAACAACTTACCAGGTCCAAATTCCCTACATCAAACACTACAACAATGGAGACAGGGTTGAAATCATCAATAATGGTCAACTTGAAATCAGGCTGTACAACAAGGGCAGAAACCCATCCGTGCGTCTGCGTGCTACCAACGGGGGTTCTTATATCAACGCTGAAATGTGGCTCCACGGGTCTTGTGCTGACATAACGAAGGGTATGTGTGGGAACTGGAATGGGAACCCTAACGATGATCTAACGGGAGGAAGTGCAAACAGCTTGGGAATAATGCACCAAGAGTACGATGAGAACTGTCCTGCTCCCCCTCTCCCACCAGATGTTTGCAGAGACGTCGGAAACCTGCACGACGAAGCTGAGGCTATCTGCTCTGCTCTCTTGAGTAAGTGGTCTCAATTTTAATTTTTATCAATAATCAACTGGGCCTTGATCTCGAATATTACTCGCGGTTTTAAGAAATGAACCCGTTTGACATTCAAAGTTCAGAGAACAACTTATTACACCCCCCCCCCCCCTCCTAGATGACCCATTCAAACAATGTAACGGTGCATCCCCTATTGGAGACAGAAACGGTGGTCCCATGAAGGACTGTATGATGGACGTCTGTAACTGCTATTTAGATGAAGTGAGAGCTTTTATTGATGGACTTTCTTTCAGTTTTTATATCTTACCAGTATGTTTTATATTCCAAGACTTGCGATTTTATCAGAATCATAGAGTTTTTTCTTCAACAAAATATTTGTAGTAGATTCAAAATAATTCACAGAGTTACTTCCTTCAGGCGTGTGCCTGTGCTCAATTTGATGTGTATGCTACACAATGTCAGAATAACGGCTTTAATGTCGCAAACTGGAGAAAACATATTTCCTTCTGTCGTAAGCTATTCTGGAATCCAATATTGTTGTGACATAAAAAGCTAGTTCTTTTTGAAAACAACCATTTATTAACAAAGTTGGGCAATTGTAAAACATTGATGATACATGTATTTGATCAGCTTAAATTTGTAATTAAGTCACATCGATAGCATGGCTACATATCAAATTAACCTGGTTATAAAAAATAAAATTGAATAAAGATCCATCTAAAAAAGTATTAAGTTCAACTATAGATTTCTAAGCTCCGGCCCAATTTAATAAAATTTATCATAACTTTTGTCGAACCACAGCTAATCTGAATATTCCCTCAGCGTACGAATGTCCTGAACCAACAGTGTACCTATCTGACGGAGCCACCCCAGTACCAACTTGTCTCAACAAGGAGCCAGAGAAGACCGGGACTGTTAGAGGGTGTTTCTGTCCAGCAGGAAAGTTCCTACAGGATGGAGTTTGTGTAGATGCTAGCGGGTGCAAGTGTCTCTACGAGGGACAGTTTTATGATGTGAGTGACTGACGAGCGCTTTAGGAAATTAAGATTCAGTAACACGGAAAATTACTCATCTCAGGTACCCTTTCTCAATTAGTATAACTTTTTCAAACAAGAATAATTTTATTTTGTAAAACCTCTGAATAAACAGAACGGAGCAGTTATAGAAGAGGAAGCAGAGTGTCAGACATGTACTTGTCAAGATGCAGGGGAGATGACGTGTCAAGACAAGGCGTGTCCAACTCTTAACTGTGAGGAAGACCAGCTAGAGGCAAGGAAGGATGATGAATGCTGTCCCTACTGTCTTGATAACTGGGTCGTGGTAAGTTAATATTTTAGTTGTTAGATCAAACTAAGGAAAGCTCCACCTATGTGTGGAATGTGCTGTAAAGTGTGAATATGTTGTTCGTTTTAAGCAAGCATCCTCTCCAGGCAGAGAACCCCGACAACCAGATCAAGAAAGGACAGTCTCTAGTTCTGACATGTGAAGTACTTGTAGAGGGGGTCAGCAAGAAGGACATTGTTTGGTTTAAGGACGGTAAAAAGATAACTAAGGGAATCTCCAGAAACAAGTGGGTGTTCATACAATAATGAATTTGGCCACTAAATTCATTATACATTTTTGCTTAAATCCCAAAAACTTCTTTGAAGCTGTGTGTATTAATTAATACCTCAATAAAAATTGTAACTTCTTTACAGGAAGATGCTGACTGTATCTGACGCTGATGCTGATGATGATGGAACCTACACTTGCCAGGCCACCAAGGATGGAGTCACTGCTAGTGACGACTTTGAAGTAGATGTGGTAATGCCTGCAGTTTGTGAGCATGAGGATGGTACGAGCTTTGAAGAAGGTACCATTTATAACCCTCAGGAGACAGAAGAGTGCACGTGTGATGCACAAGGAGTACATCACTGTGCCTGTATTGATGACGGGGAAGAGTGCGAAGATCCCACCCCTGTGGTCTGGTTTAACACCAACTGTGTCAAGACCTGTGTTCCTGAGCAAGGCCACTGTGCCGCTGCTGCTGATCCATTCTACTCAACGTTCGATGGCTCTAAATTTGCTTTCAAGGGTGACTGCAAGTACAACTTCTTCGGCTGTGGTGATGTGATGATGTATGCTGACCACGAAAAAGACAGGGCTAGTACTAGCACAAAATACATTGAGGTTCGACACTCAGAGCGTACATCAATATTTTATTGTAATTAAGAATTAGAAATACCTTGATTCATGATAAATACAATGTATTGTGGGCAAAGAAAGTTGGCGAGTTAAAAATGAATGAAGATGAGTTAATTTTGTAAGAAAAACTTACATACCCACTCCTTCAGATTGCTTTCAAATCGGACGTATTTAAGCTGGAAGGCAACACCGTGACCCTGAATGGTGATGTTGTTGCTGTTCCCATGCACAAGTCTTACAAAGACGGTTCTCAGATTCGACTAGAAGACAAAGGTAAAAAGTTTTATTCGCTTAAAAACTTTGCCATACGTACATTATTGGGAGGGGATAAGGGGATGTAAATTGTAAAGGGCAACGTTCGCTCATTGAATTGCTTCAATATGGACACAGATTTTTTTGTGACCAAACAAGAGCAATTAAATTTGCGAGATCTTACATAAACATTGCAGGCACATACACGATGACGATTACACAGGACGGAAAAGATCCTTTGGTGTACCTGCAGTGGGACAAGGTCTCCAGTTACTCCATTGACATTCACGGCTCCTGCAAGGGCTTCTCAACTGGCATGTGTGGTAAATGGGACGACGATAAAACAAACGATCTGACTGGACCTGAGGGAGACGTACTTGACAGGTTAGTCTTGTATCTTTATTAAAATATACTCTTGAAGCGCTCCAGAGCATGTAACGTACCTATTTGTAATATCTATTTTTTTTCTGTATATTTTCGTTTTTATAAATTATTTCGTTGTGTAATAACTAAAAAGCAAAAAAAGTAAATGGCGCCTACCAAATATCTCGCATTGGATTGATACATTAATAGTAATACTTTTAACCCTAGTGTTGAAGATTTCGGGACAGCGTGGGCTCAAGATGACGAAGCAGACTGCCCTATACCTGAGCCTCCTCCAGACATGTGTGATCTCATGGGTTTGACAGCTGAGAAGCCAGGTTATGAGAAACATATAGCTAACATTCTTAAGAAAAGTCCCTTCTCAAAGTGTGCAGATATTGTGGACCAAGAACCTTTCGTAACAGAGGCAGTACAACAGATCTGTTTGTGTGTGGATCTTTCCTGTTCATGCCCCATTCTCGACCAGTTGGCTGGAGAGTGTAAAGCTAAGGGAATCAATACTGACGGATGGCAACTCAACTTCCCTGATAGCAAGTGCGCTCCTGAGTGTCCAGAAGGATCCGTATTCAGACAGAGGGGACCTAAACCAGCACCATCCTGCCAAAAACCTAAAGGTGGTAAAAAGTCTCAGTCTGGATGTTTCTGTCCCGAGGGACAGATGATGGAGGAAGGAAAATGTGTTGGCCTAGATAACTGCAAGTGCGAATATGCTGGCCAGCTCTACGATGTTGGAGACAAGTACGAGAAGGGAGCAGAATGTCTGGAATGCAAGTGTGTGGGTAAGGGGCAGGAAGAGTGTGAAGACAAGAAATGTAATGTTAAATGTGATGATGATGAGATTGAGGTTCAGAATGAAGGAGAATGTTGTCCCATATGTCTTGCTGACTGGGTGGAGGCAGTTAATCCTAAGCCTGATGCTGTCGTCAAAGAACCCTTAGCTCTGACTTGTAGAGTGAACGGTGTGGAAGTGACCAAGGACAATGTTAAGTGGTTCAGGTTTAACCCAGGTATGGGGGATCTTTCCAATGCAAAAAGGACGTATTCCATTTCTGACGACGGTTTGACATTGACCATTAAGAAAATGGATGCTAAGAAAGAGGGAAACTTCAAATGTGTTGTGGATTTGGATGGAAAGACATCTGAAGGCATATTCGAGGTTGCTCTGCCGCTCGAAGAAAAAGACCTAGTCGAGGCTTTGAAAGACACAGTCGATTTTGTTGAGGGAGGAATAGTGCAACTTCAGGTAAAGCATGTTTTCAATAATCATTCTGATATATTTTTTACTATTTTTTAAAGAGAAGCTGGGCCTGGATGGCCCACGAGAGGATAGCATGAGGATACTTTGCCTGCCTCTGGGGTATGGCAACCCTGTGGGAGGTTGCCATATATACCAAGGTGTATAATGGAGGATGGTGGCAAGTGAGGTGGGAATGAGTCATGAAGGAACGCTTAAGTGACAGCCGGGTGTGGAACAGAAAAATGAGCTAAGACAACATGTGAGTAGTTGCTATGTCACACCGGTCTGGTACAGTTCCTCGGGCACAATTAGGCGTTTGGTACGGTTTGCGAAATTGCCAACAGTGGTGATATGTTGGTTGCTAAATATGTCATTGACGGAGAGGTTATAGTCCTGGAAATATTGCCCTCTTATTTGGGCAATAGCCGGGCACTGTCCAAGAAAGTGCGAGACAGTCTCCTCTTCGTCGCTGTAGGACAAGCTGAACTATAATGTGCTAGATTTGTGACTGATGTGGAGGCGTCTGTTCAGGCCACAATGCCACAGTGTCCTGTGATAAGGTGCAGTGCTGTTCTGTAATTTTTTATGTTGTTGCAGAGTGTAGTATTAAGATTTTTGATGATTTTGACGTGTTTGTGGCCGAGTGTCATTTTGGTGTGTCTGGGACTATCAGTTAACCAGGTTTACTGATTCAGTCTGGTGACTTTGTCGTCGATTAAGCGTTTGGTATAAGAAGAATTGGACACTTCAAAGTTGATTCACTGGTTGTGTCAAGCTTGGCCAGCTTATTTGCTTTTTCGTTTCCCCCACAATCCGATGTGTGCTGCAATGTCTGATTACTGATATGTTGTCGTTCTAAGATCGTAAAAGTTAAAGCATACCTATTGTATGATTGCTAAATTGTACAAAACCAGCAAATTGTTTATATATTTAAGATATCGAGTAAGGTATTTACTTACTTTCAGTGCAACAAACTGGAGGTTATCACGGAACTTTGGTGGACTTGCAACGGAAAGAGAATGGAAGCTGGGAAGGAAAACGTCATCATTAGAAATAAAAGTGAGTATGCAAATTAGGTTTTCTTATATACTCGTTTAAAAAGTGCACGTTCATATTGGTTTTTGAAGCGGTAGAGGGGCAAAGATCAGTCTCATCAACATTTATATTTTTCAAAATAATTTCTCAACCAAGGAAATTTGTAATTCAATTTCTATCCTAGTTACATAATTTGATCTCACCATCAACAAATTCTGTATAAGTATTATAAGTATAACCTATTAGAATTACGACTTTTCGTTTTCAGAGGCGTACAGCCAACTGATACTGAAGCCAGCTAAACTGTCTGACAAAGGAACGTGTACATGTCACGCCAAAGGGCAGGGTACGGAGGATTCTGTAGATATTGAAGTAGGAGGAGTTGAGAACGAAGTTACCATCACGTCTCAAGTGGATGACCTTACATGCAAACAGGGAGAGAAGAAGCCTTGTAATCTGGAGTGGAGTATCGACACTAAAATTGGGGTAAGAGGATTAAATTGATTGCAGCAACCAATCGATTTGAACATACCAATTGATTACAATCATAAGGAAATTGAATAGTCGAAAAAGATACCCGTGACAGCAAATACCCGTCTTCATCTGATTTTTGATTTCATATAAGCTGGAGAATACATTAAGCATAATTTACCATGAGTCTCTATGATTAGACAGACCAAATATTTGCTCTTCGCTTTCATCAATTTTCATATTAGCTCTAAAGATGTTTTCTTGCTTATCATTTGTTGTACTAAATTATCGTTACTTAGACGGTCAAACCAAGAGACGTGCAGATCTGTCTGTACAAGAATGAAAAAAAGACAAACTGCAAGGTTAGCAGGCTCAAAAAGGACATCTACAGCCGCAGCTTTGGATATCAACGAAAGCCTCAATCGAGTGGCCCATACATGTAAGTTTAAAATATTCTTTGTTTTCCTGGGCGTTTTACCGTCCCGCCCTAAAAAACTGTGTACCTTATCAGATATTTATGATCACATGGTCACAATGTCACATGGTCAGATTGGTCACATGGATATAATGTGTACGGAAATCACAAAATTTCAATCGTGCACGATTAAAACCGTCTTAAATTTTGATAGTTGGCGTAACAATTTTGACCGTGAAAAATGTTTAGTTGTATACAGTATAAATAATAGTAGGCTGACATAATATTTAGTTTAAGCTGTAATCGATCGCTTTTTAATTCCATATACTACATTAAATTAGGATGAAAGATAATATGCGGGACTATTGATTTATTTTATAAAGAATGAGATAGGTCTGATTAGGTACTGTTTTATTAATGTTAATACCCATTATGTGGGACTATAAATAAATACCCTTTTGCTCGCTAACTCACTCTTCATCTCAGAGCTGTGGTCACAGTGAAAGGTAAAGAGTATATTTCGGACCCTATCACCTTGACTGTAACGCCCAAAGGCAAGAAGGGAGAATAGAAGACTTTGCTAAAGAGCTAAAGGCTAGGGAGAATGGAGATTGGTTGTGTGACTTTTTCAGTCATTCGGAAAAATTTATTAGTTATACTTACTTGAGATAAAAAACAATTTTAGATATTGAAAAATTTGTATCCTTGAGCTGAATTTCTTTCAAAACGTCTCGCAATTCGTACTTTTGCTTTTTACTTTCATAGTTAATGTTGACATGAATTCTGCAGTCTGCTATTATGGTGATCGACAAGAATATTTATTAAATGATAGTGGGTCTATAACCTGTTTCCGTACATTTGAGTAAAAAATTTCTGAAATGTTGAGCTTGAAGAGGATGAATCAATTTTTATTGTTCACACATTAGAAATGTTGAGCTTGAAGAGGATGAATCAATTTTTATTGTTCACACATTAGATAGTCACAATACCAAACCTGCTCGAAAATATACACAAAATTATACTTGTTAGCCTCATTTCACCCTCTCAAAAGGTGGTTAGCCTAATTTTCACGTCGAATATTTAAAGCTTAGATCTCGATCAATGATGAGGCTAATTCATTAGCCTCAATTGTCCCTTACAGTTCAATCACTTCTACTGAGTCTAGTGAGTGAGCTAGGAGGTCGCCGAACATCTCATTTTTTAAAGCCGTATCGATTTTCTATACGCATACTAAAAATCAAATATGTAACTAAAACAGAAATGAAATTACAAACATTTTAAATCTTTTGTCAAAAAACGAACTTTTAGGAGTGTTTCTAATGACGCAGGGTTTATTTTAAACTTTTAAAATTTTAATCTTTGAGCCACACACTCCCAGCACTGCAGACAAAGAGGCACTCTAGTCTCTCAGTTTGGCTCCAAATTAACTGCAGGTTATATTACTTATAAATTACCTTAAAACTTATAAGTTACGGGTCAGAAGTTGGGGTTAATATTAAAAACTGCATACAAATCGATATTAATTTATAATATTATTATATTATAAAACAGGATCTTACCGACAAAAATGATTCTTAAAAATACCTTAATGCGGTAAACTGTACCCTCGAAAAAGATTTTCCCAACATCTGTTGCATGCAGCTATATCTCTAATTTCATTCAATTCATGAGAGTTGTCCATTTGCAAATTTCTACTACTTAAATCACTTCTTAAAACCGATAACAAGTTCATTCTAGGTCTCCCCAATCTTCCAATGAATAAATTATCTGATTCAATAGCAAAAGAGAGAGCCGTTTGGGCTGGGGTGTTCTCCATACTCCTGAGAATGTGTCCAAACATCTTCCACCGCTGGTGTTCGATACGCTTTGATAACTTTTCAACTTTGCACCTTTATTTGCACCAATTTATAATATAATCGAATTATATGCGACGAAGTCGTTAATTTCAACCATGGTGAATTTCATAAGTTAAATTTAGGCATATTTCCTGGAAACATTGGTTAAGATAAGGAGCAAATTATTAAAGTATTAACATTGTTCCTGAACTGATTTCAACACAACGAAAAATTATAAAAGAAATTTTCGACAACAGTTATACAGATGTGAGCTGAAGTATTAACAAATCGGTAATTAGGTTACCTGGGGACCCCAGGCTATTATCTTAAGATCTTACTATATATATGGATCCGTACCATTTTACTGACACCACGGTACTAACTTTAACGCGACTTTCCGCAAAAACCGTAAAAGATATACAACTGAAGCTTTTTTGACTGGGTCAAATGCTTTAATCATAATGGCCCTTAAAGTGAAATCAGCATGAAAAAAATAAAAAATAGGCCAAGAAATAGGATCAGTTTTAGAGCCCAAAATTTGGACCCCCAAGTGTGAAGTGGTGTTGTGGTAAGGGTTATGGTTAGTTTCGGGGTTATGGTTAGGGTTAGGGTTGGGATTAGGGTTTATGTAAACCGTTTTGTATGGCTGCAAAACCATAAAAACCAAAGTCACGTGAAATTTTTGGGCGAGCGAATTAGTAAGAGCCCCCTTCTTGAGGTTCCATTTTAATGTGATTAGGGCGGAAACCACTAGGGCTCAAGTCACTAGGGCGGAAGTCACTCGAGCGGTAGTCACTAGAGTGGAAGTCACGAGGACGGAGGTCACGAGTTTAAAAAAGAGACGATAAAGCTAATTATAAGATAACGAATGAATTATGGTAGCAATTATTAGTTCACTGCCGCGACTGTCATGTAGCGTTGTCTCTAACGCGCACTACTCAATACTCATCCTTTTTAAACCAGCTCAGTCCTTCCCGATTTTTGTAAACCTTGCTCTTAATTTAACCAGTATACCCTGTTCTACTTCTAGCCTGATCCTACAGACTGGCTTAGTAGCTTACTCCTTCGAAATATTAAATACTAGAAACTCGCTACTCGCTATACTAGTCGAACGCGTAATGCTCAAGGAAATTTAAAATCAGTTACGTTTTAATGTCCCTCCATCATCTAGCTCCGTACTGTAGAAACAGGAAACTTGTATGAATTTTATTTGACAATCATGATAAAGTTTTAAATATTTCCTAAACAATACTTTTTATCGCATCAAAAATATCAATCACAACCAAAATTATAAATAGTCACAGCGTGCACGTAAATGCAAGCTAGTTATGCAATGATATTGATAAAGCCAAATTTTGTCCATAAATCTCTTTATGTAGCAATTATTTATTGATCGCGTCATCTGTAAGATTGAATTAAAATATTTCAACCTAAAAATAAACCTGCTGAACGACTTCTGCAATGAGTCTAAATGAAACAAAAATTGCGCTCATTGTTTCGTTTTGCATTTTGGCGGACGCTAGATTTCCATTCACTATAACTATAAATATAAGCTCTAATCAGCTCACTTCATAATAATAAAATTGATACACATCAGTACACCACGCGTGCCACGTACAAATTGGGCTTATTACCTAATACTATACAGTACCCGGCTCAAGCTGTTCATAGAAATAAGATTATCGTGCGATTCTTGCGCTGTGGCCAAATTATATACCATCCGATAGGAAAAACGCCAAATCGGATGTCGCAAGAAAAACGCAACCTAGCACAGTTTCCTATAAAAAGTTATGACTAAATAACTGGTCAAAATAAATATTTACACCGCGCAGCGAATAAAATAAAACCATATTAAAATAACTAGCGCGTCTCTATCTGTTGCTATGCGTCGCCATGGTTATGACGTCACGTATGACTATATTTGGAAATGAGGGGAAGGCTCCTTGATCGCAACGGCGAGGTAGCGCAGTTGGTTAGAACGCCAGCTTTGCAACCGCGAGGTTACGAGTTCAAATCCCACTGTCTGCCTGGTTGTGGGGTGAGCGTCGTTGACGTTCAGCTAAGGATCCTGAGTGGTCTATGTATGATGTAGCCCCCGCTGTATTCTATCAGCCGAATACTCGGGAAATCGGAAGTGAGGGTTAAATGAGGAGCTGCACATTGCAGCAGTCTCGGGCGAAGTACGGTACACACTACTTTAAGTTTAACCGTCACTGGCCAAAATTAATCATTCGGCTTCCTGCAATTGGCTGGTTGCACGTGTGTAACAATGTGGCTGTTGGAATACTCCGAAGTAATGTCGTTAAATTTACTGGAGAATCAATGATGAGGTCTGAGGACATCGTGTGTATTGGGGTAAGGGCCGGTAGCATGCGTTAATTCAGGGTAGCATGCGTTAATTTACTGACTACAAATTTACACTACAACATTGGAATCCTTTATCGATTAGCACAGCTCGTAATCAATAAATGTAGTGGTTGTCGGCTGAACAGATTGCCGATGCAACCGCTACAAATTAGCTTTATAAGAGTCTTCAGTCATATGGATTTCAGAGCTGCATTTTACACCCTCCTGTCTGGTGGCAGTGCAACTGTTAGTTAAAGAGGAAATTTTTGGGGTACCTCCCTACAGGCAATTGTGAAATAAGATGGTAGCATGCCTTAGAGAGCGTATCTCCAATTTCAGGGGCGACCCTAGATGGATCAAAGATCGTGCATATCTAGGGATATCTGTGATCTAGCGCCCGGCTCTACATTAAATACAGAAATATTACCGATTTTACGAGAAAATCGTGGTGTTGCTTGCTTACCTATGTTATTATGCTATGTATGTTAAATAGGAAATGATCGCGGTGCCAACAAAGAATGCGGCCCAATATTGCTTTAGTTCTCCAGTAGGATGGGGGGGTACCAATGGCATAAATGGCATACGTTTTTTGGCATAAATGGAAATTTTTATTGGCCAATTCTCCATTTATGCCATGAATTTAGGTCTTCATATTTGACTTTAAATTCGCAAATTATTATTAATAGTTGAATAAGAGACATGTTTCATGCTTTATAACGCTTGGAATGATCGTTAAAGATTCATATGACAAATAAAGAAAATAGAAATGTATTATATCAAAAATGGCATAAATGGCATACGTTTTATGGCATAAATGGAAATTTTTATTGGCCAATTCTCCATTATGCCATTTATGCCATTGGTGCCCCCCCCAGTAGGATATACAACTTGTATGAACAAGGCCAAGGCATGGCCTCAAAATTCGTTGCATCGTGTATTTGAATTGTAATATGGCCTAAGCGGGATTATCGTCTTGACATGCTTTTCTCTGCATGAAGCCTAAATACTAAGTGTGGTAACACGTCGGTTAGTCAACGGGGACAAGCAGTACCGAAAATAAGCGACGCTTAGTTGAATTTCCCCCAATTTTTCTCAATGGCTGGGTGGCCTAGTGGTTAGAGCTTCCGCCTTCTGTACAGAAGGTTCAGGGTTCGAATCCCAGTTTTACTCAGTCTAGTAAGTAGCTAAGGATTCATTGGATCTATGTGATCTCCTCGGTCGACTCAGCCGAATGATAGGAAACTTGATTGAGGGTTAAATGAGGAGGGGTGCCTGTGCCAAAAGATCAAGAATCTTAGGATACTCCTTCAGAACATCTACAATGTAGTGTACTGTTAAACAAGGGCGGTCGAACTATTCGATGACCCTATAGAGGAATCTACGAACTTTACAAATTATACAAATTATTATTATATTCTTCACCAAGAGAGATTATCAATTTGAAAGTCATGTTAATAAATTTAAATCACAAATTCATTATATCATAAATTCAAATCATACATCCAATAACTTTAAGAAAATCAAGTTAACAGTCTGCAGTCTCTCGTCATACTTAAGATCCACTTTGCTGCTCCTCGGCTAGGACGTTCTCTGCACAGTCTCTTCGTGAGTTTCACATATGTTATGTCCTGCTCCGCCTTCAGACAGTCCAGAAATTTCCAGATAGTAAGGTTTGAAAAGGATAACATTGAGTGCAGTAGAGGCCGTGGAG